TTACTGCTGAATAGGCATGTATAGGATTGCACTGTTATTCTCTTACACACACACTTCAAAGAAAGAAAACTGACATATTGTTCCCTTACAGATTTTACCCACAATCTAACAAAGTTGGAGGCGTTCAGCAATGCGTCTAATTCTAAGTAGGCTTGTTATCATTAGAAAAATAAGCATTATTTGTGTAATCCTATATGGTTACTCAGAAGATAGTCTTACTTAGTTCAAAGAGGCTTCTGAGCAAAATTTAGAAATAATTTTAGTCACTATGGTGGGTTTTTAAAAAAAAGAAAAATAGTGAATAGTATATATGGCATAAAATTCAAAATGTCAGTCCCAGATTTTGCCTCATTATCATCAATGTCACTGCCATTTTTCTATTCTTTGCTTGATTTCATGCTGTTAAACCTCTTATCTGTGCATCAGTGTGATCAGGATTATTCAGCAGTGGCAGCTGCTGAATAAGGCCAAAGCATTTCAGTTGATTTCTGAAACAACTGCATTTCTAACCTCTTTTGACCCACTCTACAGACTAAACAGGAGTTCAAAATTTAATTCCCAATCTTGTTCAATGTTTTTGTCACTCACAATAATGTTAAGCTAAAAATGTGTCAGTGTTAAAACATTGATCTCCTTCCTTCCTCCTCCCCTTTAGAAGTGCATTTATGCTGCGATCTATAAAGAGACACTAATATGATCAACTTACAGGGATCAACAACATATGTGGTGTTGCTTACATTACAAAAGCAAATAATGAAGCTATATTTAGCCTCTTATAAAACATTCTGAGTATTTGGGCGATGGCAACCATTACATACATAAAGACTTAAGCAGATAGAGTGAAATTAAAAATAGAAGCGTTGGGGTTCAGGAACCGTTCTCCATCTAAACATATCCACAGATCAATCAATGTAAGGCACAGATACTAGTAGTCACATGAAATAAGGGCTTTCTAGTAATTAATAAACATTGTACTGTTCAAGTGCAAGCTCAGATATGGCACGAAATCTGCTTCGCCTGTGAAATAATGTGTCTGTCTGTCGGGGGAGGGGTGCAATGACTCTTACAAGTGCTGCTCCAAGACTCTTAGCATGCTTAATACCCTGGCTGGCTGTGACGTGAGGAGGGGGACAAAAAACTAGGAGGGAAGGTGGAATTGAATGAGTGCCCTGGAAGACGGCAGCACCAGCTGGCTGGAAACCTTAACAGGAAAACTCCACACCACAACATTTTGTTGGGCGTCTCTCTTGGCTCACCAGTTCTTTAACTGCATTAGAAAAATGGATAAGGAAATGGGTCTTGCAAAATACATCAGAGTTTATGTTCTGAACATGCCACAGACCCATTCACTGAAGTCAGTCAGTAATTGCAGGCAGTAGGTTCAGCATTATCCACAAGTGCAATCAGCTGTTTGTGTAATATTACTGAAGACTCAAGAACTTTCCTGACACAGGCAAAATGCACCTTGAATCTGCTGGCACAGCTTTTAAAGTTTGTACTCTGATCATTATTAGCCATTGATGCACCATAACCCTATCCAGTCTGCAGATTTCCCTTCTGAAACAACACCCTTCAGCAGAATCCTAGCCCAACCTTTTCTAGGCTTGCAATTAGCCGGCCCAGTTGACTGATCTCTGACTAGTCCCTCACTCCCCTTGTCTTTAGCATACTTTAGCATAATGAAATGCAAATGCCCATATGCTATTAGTACTATACATCTAACGACACTCTCTGACAGTCAGCAATTAGCTTGGGCAGCCACAGCCTATAATGTCGCACAAGCAGTGTGTGGAGCAACTGTGTTCTATAGAGAGAAAGATAAACAGGCACTCTTGGAAGCAGTCCAACTTTAAGAAGAAGAACCCCAAAGTGAGCTTACTAAAAAAAGAATCCTAATTACTGCTGCAGATAAGGCAGGCCCTTTAGAGTTTACTCTTCAGCCCCCTCACAGCTAAAGTAGCTGAAGACTGCTATGTTTATTAGTTAATGTTTCTCCAATTCAGTCATTCTTTTAATTCCTATTTGTAGTAGCTGAGCTGAGGTTAGGAAGCAATCTAGGCAAGAAACAAATGTTAAATGAAATATATTTTTCTACCTAGCTAACTTTATTTTCATTTCCTTACTGTTTCCCTGGAATATCAAGCTGTATGGAAGGAATCACATATTTACTAGAACTGAAATATTTACATTTTTTAAAAAAATGTAATGAATGTAAATCCATTAAATGAAAATTTAGTGTGTGTGTGTGTGTGTGTGTGTGTGTGTATGTTTGTGTGTGTTTATCAGTTGAAAATGTAAAAGACTTTGCTGCTACCTAGTAACTTTTTCTTTTTTCTTTTACAAACAATACTCCATAACTTTTAACAAAGTGACAAATGGAAGACAGAAGGGATACAACAGTGGATTGAAGAGGGAGAGGGGGAGGGGGAGGGGGAGGGGGAGGGAGAGAGATTGTGGTTAACAACTATATCTTCATTATTACCAAAAAAAGATTACTATGCATTTTGGCAAAACAAATACTGAAACTTGTTTCACAATTTGGAAGGAGGCAGTCTATGCATTAAAACTTAATTATTTAACCTACAAATTAATCACTAAAGACGGGAATACTTTCATATATTATTAGTATAGTCAATAGTAAGTCCATACCACCTAAAAGCCAACAGTTTATTCTTGTAAAGCAAATCATCTCGCACGCACGCACGCACGCACGCACACATCTGTTAAGGCTATTTCCTCCTGCTTATGTTTCTATCAATGCTGTGACTCCAACCTTCTTATAGTGTCTAATAATTGTTGTCATCTGATTGTTGTTGTCCCACAGATGGCGCCACAGAGTGCCTATAGTCTCTTCATACATTAGAGCACTATAACTCCTGGTGGGTGAGACAGCAAGAATCTTGTGTGTCAACTCATTCCAGAAGAGAATCAATCCATAGTCCAGCCCAGCACTCTGCCAAGATCTAGGAGTTTAGCTTGCTTCAGTCCTGTCCCCCTTAATGAAATAACTGGAATTACAATACAGCCTAAGCAGTGGAACTGCGGAGAATTCACACAGTACAATCTGGCTTTCCCCTTCCCCTCTTCCCTTGACAGAAAAATCCACACTCCCTCAATGGTTTTCTCTAGTATTCCGGGGAGGACAAAGAGGGAAATGGTGATACTAATAGACTTTGATCTTCCCCCAGTGCTTATCCATGGTTGCATCCCTCACTTTCTATCATATCAGTTATACAGACATATGCTAAAACCAAACTCATCCGTCCTAGTGCTGACCTGGATGTAGCCTAAATAGCACCATTCACACACAAAGGAGAGGCATCAGCAGTTTGGGGAAACCCCAAGGTTTGCAGTCTTGCAGAAGAGAGGGAAATAGCTTTGGGAGAGGAAGCCCAAAACAGCTGAATGAGGACTACTGAGGGGAATGCTGGTAGGCTGCTGGTGAAGGGGAGGAAACAACCGAGTGGAGCATCGAGGCTGAAATCCTGGACAGAAGCACCGCGCACTGCAACATTTTGTTGCAGCTCTGACGAGCATTGTTTTGAAGTCATTCATTTCCTACCATTCCTTTCCATAGATCCTTGTACTGAATATTACAGATCTACCCACAGTACAAAGGTGAATTTACTTAAAATAAAAATTAAAAAGAGGGGTGGAAATATGCAGAGCGCTTGCTTCCCGTTCACGCGCACATCTCACGGAGCGCAGAGGGAGGTGAACACCTGCTCGAGTGCAGCAAATCTCAACATCTGCCAGAGTTCAGCGTGCAGGTTAAAAAGCCCTTTGGAAAGAGGTGAACGAAGTGAAGAGATCCTCACCCTTTCAGCTGTGCTCCACAAGCGCTACGAAAGTCAAAACGCGAAGCTTACTCGCCGGCTTCCGAGAAACAGACGGGCGAACAGCAAGTCCCTCCCGGAGCCAAAGTTCCTGCTGCTGCTTCTGCGCTCCCGGCTTGTCTGATTCCAGCCACGGGCTCGTCCCTCTTTGGAGAGCGGGGAGCGCAGAAGGCGCGGGAAGCAGGCGAGGGGCTACGCTGGGCAGGGCGGGCGGGCGGGCAAGGAGAAGCGGCATCCAGGACGGCAGGGCTGCGGCTGCGGCTGGGTGGGGACAGGACTCCGAGAGGATAACAGACACTCACGCGCGCGCACACACAGAGCCGAGCGCCGAGCTGGGAGGGGCGGGGGAAGAGCGCGAGCGAGAGGTTAATGGACTTCTTAAGCTCGGCACGGGCGGCCGGAGAGACTCGCGGAGGAGAAGAGACGCTCCCCAGAAGCCCACGCGGAGCTGCGGGAAGCCGGGAGGCGGCGGCGGCGGAGAGGAAGCCCGCCCCCCCGCCCCGCGGCATGTTTTGCTCCCCTGATACCTATCTCGCTCCCTTCACCGCCTCCTCGCCGGACGGAGACGCAGCAGGGCGGCGAGCGCGGCATCTGTCCCTCGCCCAGCCCTTCCCGCTGACCTCAAACCAAGGGCAGGACGCCGCTCTCCGGCGAGGCATCGAGCAGAAGGCGCTCGGGTCCGCCGCCCGCCCGCCCGCCCTCCCTCCCTCCGACTTGGCCGCGCGGGACAGGAGCAAGAAGCGGCGAGGCGCCTCACCTGAGAGACCCGCCGCCGCCAGCAGCAGCGGCCGCCGAGAGTCCCGCTCAGCCCCCGCTGGCCGCTTCCTCCTGGGAAAGTAGCGCGGGCGCCAGCCGGCGGCAGCTTTCGCCCAGGCTCCGAGGAACCAGGGTGGCGCGGCTCCGGGGCGCGCTTGGAAACCCTTCAGGACGGCGGGAGAGCCAGCGAGCGAGCTGCCAAGCCGGGCGGCTTCTCCTCCTGACGCTCCTTTCCCCACCTGCAGCGGCGGCGCTCGCAGCCCTGGGAGCCTGCCTGACAGAGCGACCCGAGCGCCGCGGCCACGCCCCTGCTCTCCAAAGCGCCTCCCCATTGGTCCGCCGTCGGATTCCCACTGGCCGCCCCGCCCCGCCTCCTCCTCCTCCTCCCCCTCCCCCCCTGGTGTGCGCAGTCTGGACGCCGCTGCTTTCCGCAGGGAGAGGAGAGATTCTGATGGGCAGCCAGCCCTGGAGCAGACCTGTCGGGCCATTTGCTCGCGATGATGGATGGCTCTTTGGGACGGAAGAAGCGAAAGCTAAATGGAACTTTTATAGAGCTGGGAGAGGAGGAAGGCTGCAGAGCGAACTCTGCTCGTCTGGCTTCCAGAGGTTGCTGAACTGCAGCACCGACCACTCCTAGCCAGAGGCATGATGAGGCACCCTTGGCAAGGAGCGGCCCGGAAAGCACGTGGCTCCTGGCCCCTCTGAGCCAAAGTGGAGGGGCGCTGTTTTTGCAGCTCTCCCCTGGACCTGCGCCCTTGGGACCAACCTGACCAACCCCTAGGTACGCCCTTGCCCCTGCCCATTGGCAATGCCGACTGGCGCGGATGGGATCCTTCTGGTTGCAGCTCCTTGCCACAGAGGTAGAAAGGGACAACTAGGATAGTCCGGAGTCTTTCATCTTCCAATGACATCACAGATTCCCATCCCTGAATACGTAAAGCAGAGATGGAAAACCTGTGCTCCTTTCCCCATGCTGTTGGGCTCCAGTCAGCATAGCCCACCGGAAGTACACCTGGAAGGCCACAATTGTGTGCTTACAAGATGACTGCAGCCAAGGGATACCTTTTCCACACACTTTATCAGCCCCCTCCTAGAGTCACACAGCCTGTGCCACAGAGAGGAAGCAAGTGATCACATTCATGCAGGGTGCATGTCAAGAAAGTGAACAAAGCCATTGCCTTTGTATTAAATTATATGGCCAAGGAGTTAGGCTTCTGGTAAATGCTGGTCCATTGAACAGGGAGGGAACACAGAGGCTAAGACTTGTGGGAATGTTCAGGGATGCAGGAGAGGATATATTGTTTGATTATAGCCTTTCCAACTTGTGTTAACAAGTTCCACAATTTAGCAGAGTAACATTCCCCTTTTTAAACTCACAGAGGATGCATTTGCTCAGGCTCGCTACAGCCTCTATAATAACTGTCCTGGTATTTTCCCTTTATTCCCTCATAAAAGATAAGAAACAACACAGTCTTCATAAAAGTATAAGAAGAGTTTACTCACTCACATTCTGTTCACAGTTGGATCCCAGAAGGCATACTTAGCTTAGAAAAGTAACATACACCTGGAAACTATCCCATAAAGAGACAGTCCCTTTGTCCTCTCTTGGCTGGAAGCCTAGAGAGCATCTTTGGCTAAGCAGATGTTGCTTCTTCAATGAAAGTAGTCGGAGAGAGAGAAAGATGGTGGCCAGTCCTGTGCTTTTGTTACCTGCACAGGTGAGGCCATGCCCACCTCTGGTCACATGTAGAGGAATTCTGTCCCAGACAGGAGAAACAAGAAGTTTCAACTGGCTGGTCCAGACATCCCCTTTTATGTCCACTCTAGGGATGTTGTACTTGACTGCTCTTGTGTTTCACATCCCACAAGACAAACCCCAAGATCAATCCATTAATTCATGGCAGGGAACTCAAAACATACAGTGCAAACTTCCACAGGCCTGCCTACCTTTTGCCTGCTATCAACTCTCCCTTTACCACCACAGTAGTCAACAGGCCTTTCTGCCTGCAACTCCTTGACCTACAGGTAGAAATGAGCAGCTAGCATAGCCCTGCTTTCTCTTGCAGCTGCTGTTTTGACACCACTTCTATACAGGGATCAAGGAAGAATGTCACACTCCCTTGCTATGATCGGTGTCTTGCTCGCTAGCCTAAAACTTGGTGGCTACATGTGGCATGTGCCATTTCAAATGTTGCAATCATGTATTACATGCCCACATTTTGGGCTTTCCTTGATCACTGTGTGTGAATGCAGTCCATGTGTGAACAAAATTAACAGTCACACACAATAAAGCTTTTGTCTTTCTTGTCTGTCAATGGGTGTCCTCAGTATAGGAAGAAAGGGGAATCTCCCACACACAAAAAGCTGGCAGTTAAACTTGGGTTGCACTGATGGGGTAACACCAGGGAATTATTCTAAGTTTATGCCTATGTAAATGAAATCAACTTGTACTTTGTTCTGTGTTGCTAAGAGAGCCTTGCAGCTTTCTCACGGAGCTGTCTCAATACAGAAATAGGATGCTCTATAAAAGCAGCAAGGATTTGATTTTTCTCTGCCCACGCTTTAATGCTGTTTAATTCTTCTTGGTAATGGCATTCTAGATTTATAATGGAAAGGCAAGGTCAGTCGTTGGCTTGCTTCGGTTCTATTTTATTTAAGATTCTATTGAGAAATCAGAACTTCGAGGCACTACTTCAGTCTTCTGGAGCAGGTACAGGAAAGTCAATACCTTGTATTCAAGTTTTCCAGTAACCCTCCCTCCCTTTCTCCAGTGAAGTTTGATTTTAGTAAAAGAGATCGCCCCCCCCCCCGATTTATCAACTACTAGTTAAATTAATTATTGAATTCCTTTAAAAAAAACAAAAAAGAAAGAAACCATCTTAACTGGTAGGTAGATTATTGCCTACAATATCAATACTCTTCTATTTTATTCTAGGTATGTCCATGTTCTCCATAGGAGTATATTCTGGATCCCTACTGAGTGAAATAGCTTAATCACCCTGCAGCAACACGCTGTCTTTCTTTCCTTTGCAGAGACAACACTGAGTAGGTTAATGGTATCCATTGATTGATCCATGCAGACAGTGACCACAAAGGAAAGCACAGTCTACTTTGCAATTGCTAATAAGCAGGAAAGATAAGCCACCATAAAGCAGCTGAGCTGATATAGTAGGGAGGCAAAGGAGCAGGGAAATTCATTTTGCCACCCTTACAGACTTTCAGCAGTGCAAAGCCACCTTCTGGCCCCTCAGTCCTTCTCTTTGCCAGTTCCCAGAGTTGCTCTAATTTGGAAAAACAAGTGCTTTGTGCTTCAGAATATTCACAGCCTTATAAGACTGGCTGTGACCTGGGAATTGTCTAGTCCACTCCTGTGCATTGAAACAGAATCTCTATACCCTATGCGCCAACATTAGTTGTTATCAACTTGATTCTAGTGTGCAACAACTAGCAGAGAAGTAGTAACCATGATACTCTGGTATCCTTCATTAGAAGCTATAACTCAAGAGATGGAGCAAGTGCTTTGCATAAATCAGTTCTCCCTCCTCCAATCTTCAATTAAAGGCACCCTGAGTCATTGTCCAATCGTATGCAGGAAGGAAAAACTCCACACAAGAGATGGGAGCCAAGGAGTGCTGTTGACAACTTGTAGTGTCCATTTGTGCTCATGGATGAATCAGTGCATGAGCCCCAGGGGCTGGGTCATATTATGTAAATATTAGTCGCTTTAGAAATACCTACTCAGAGTTTCAAAATAAAATGTCAACCTCTAGGTTTTCCCTGCTTATACAGCATGAAAGAAAATGTCACTGATTTGAATTTGATGTAGGAATAACAGCTTTTATGCCATGGAATGTTTTCCTTCTCTGCTCAGTGGTATTTGATTTCTGAAGGAGTAAAAAATTGTTCTCTAGGGACAATTATATATTTGAGATAGGAAGATGTGGTAGACCAAGCAGCTTATGGAGTGACTGTGTGAAGTACAGACAATTTGCTGGTATAACACAGCTGCAAAATAGCTAAGTGAGACAAAGTATATTCTGCACTGAAAAGTTCTATAGGCCTGACTTAACGATAATAATGAATGTGAGATGATGTCGTGCATCTCTTTTAAAGCTGAGAAAGCTAGAACTATTATGCAGTATATATATTTTTAATGCAAGACTTTTACAGGAAGATAATAATAATAATAAAAACCCCTTCTGTTATTTATCACAAGGTATTCAGAGTCATGGTTGGTGGAATCTCATTTGCGGAATCCCTTCCTTAGTGATGGAAGTCCTTTTCACCACTGCACTAATCCCTACACATGTGAACACATTATTTTTTCTGAGATCTGCTTAGAAGAATAGATGATACAACATGACAATCTGTGATCACACCCAATTTTTATTTTAAAACATGTGAAATCTGGACCTGCTTTAAGAAATAAAGAGGTGGCTAATGTTTTTGTGAATAGCATTTATAAATATTCTCAGCCTGACAAATTTTGTGGCTAGAGACCAATGCTGAAGAGACATCTGCAGCCGGGGGAAGACGAAGGTGTCTAGTTGTGCTGCTGCACATGCAGCATGGCGTGTCTTGTCTCTGCGCTGCTCCCTTCAGCCATTCCTAAAATTCACAAAATGTGTTCATAAAATGTTTCTTTCTAGTGTTATTTGGCTACTGCAGAACAAACAGCTTCCTGAGGTATATTTTAATGGCTGTGGCATCTGTGGCATGAGAAGGCAAATTTGTTGATGGCAACTCTTCTTTTTTCATCTTCTCAGTCTACCCTCTTGCCTTGTGTATTGAAGATAATGAGGCCATTCTCAGAACAGGCCACTGCCTTTTTGCTACCATTATTACATGTGCTGCCATTTGTGTACTAAGAGGTCCAGATGCTTGTGACAGCTTGATTTCCTGGAGCAACCTACAAGGACACTGCAAGAAAGGCAAAATGCTTTAGCTTCAGTGACATGGAGGGGGAAATATTCTGCAATGTGACAGTAGCAATGCTACAATTTCGTAACACTTTCATCTCAAATGTTTGCTTTTCTTTAGCTTCTGACAGCCTTAAGCATCACCCTTTCAGCTAAATTTCTTCTCCAGGCTGGAGAGATTTATACTTGTATACATTTAAACTGACTGTTTTCTATCAGTTGTTTTATCTGTTTGTTTATGTTACTCCCCCCCACACACAGTTAAAGAGGATAAGATGACTGTTATTGACTATGCCAATGTTTCTCAAACTTCGATCGCCAGCTGTTGTTGGACTACAACTCCCATCATCCCTGACCATTGGTCCTGCTAGCTAGGGATGATGGGAGTTGTTGTCAAACAACGGCTGGAGATCCATGTATGAGAAACACTGGGCTAGCTATATCATTAAATGCTGCATGTGTGTATTGTAAATCAGGAATGGAAAACTGTGAGCCTCTAGGTGCTGCTGGTCTATAGTTTCTTTGATCCCTGACCATTGGGCCATACCGGCTGGGGCTGATGACCAGGGCTGAGTCCAACAAGAACTGGAGGGTGGCAGCTTGGCCATCCCTGTCTTAAACCATGATTCTTAAAGTTTAAGGAAGATCTCTATATACAAAACTGCAAGCACTAATTAGGAGAACTCTGAATTCTTCTTGAACTCCAAACCTCAATTTAGGTGTCTTGTTTGGATGAAAACGTGGGCGTGCTGCTTCCCCTCTTCCAAATCAGAGGAACACAAGCAATTGTCTGGATAATATGTCTTCCTACTTGTGCTGATTAGGAGTGCTTGGAATTCAAGACAACAAATGCTTCCCTCCCCTATAGGATTTCCTCTGCAGTTTCATTCTCTGGACGTCCACATGGAGTTGCAGTGCAATGACAGTTAGAAAAAAGGACCAGTGAGTACTATCAACTTTTCCCCATAATAATGCACGTCATCTGTCTGAGAATAAAGCAACTAAGGGGGAAGTATGTCTAGTTATTCTTTTCTGTGAATTGCCAGGTTGGGCAGGGCATGAAAGAGTTCACAGACTCATCAGGATTTTTGTTCCTCTGGATTTAAAGGTTTTGTGACATGTAGCTCAGGATGGATAATTGTGTTGATTTTGTTTTGTCTCAGATTCTAATTTTCCCAGTCTTAGGTTTCGTTTTCCACATTTCTGCACCAGTCCTCCTGAAGATATATTAGCATTTTAGTAAAATTTCTCCTATTATCACGGCTGGCTCACTCATGAGGTGAGGTAAGGCAGTGGCCTCAGGGTCCAGACTTCGGGGGTGGGGGGAGGCAGCTTCTGAGAAGTGTGCTGCTTACTACCGCCTGCATTTGTCAACCTCCTCTGTATATCCTGCATGCCCTGATGGGCAGAGTGGCATTTTCTATATTGCTTCTAGTGGCAAAATGTCCTGGGGCTGCCTACCAATAATGCATGTCTTTGTATGCAATATTGCCGGATATACCGATTTTTGCAAGCCATATCCCCTAATAAAATGTATTTAAGATTCTGTTTTCTCTTATTGATCACCTTTATGCACACTTTACCCTAATATGCACATCATTTGATTGGGAAACTACATAGCAAAATTCAGAGAAGTGTGAATTTTGAAAGTTTGCATATTGTTACAGAAGATGTAAATTTCTTCTCCATCTATCCATGGATAATCTCAAATAACACCGTGGAGGAGATAGGTAGTTTGGGGTTACCTCATTCATAAACCAGGAAGCCACATCTAACATGCAAAGCGTCACAGCCCCAAGTGCAGTTTACCTAGTTTTGAAGTAAGGTAATCTGGGAACAATGTGTTGGTTAGAAAAGGCCCAGAGACCTCCAGATATGCGATGGAAGAAACAAAAGTATTTCTTTTCTTGCAGGATGTCATTCTAATGTGAAGTCTTGTGAAGTTCAATGCAGCCTTTCATAGAGCAGTGGATCCTTACAGAGCCATTATAACAGTCTGTTTATTTACCTGTGCTGAGAAAGGATGAATGGGAAACAGGAGGTGACACCTGTGGCACCAGAAGGCAGAAACATTGCAGGTCCCAGAATAAAAGCAAAATCAAGGCAAAGCACTGAAGCAGACTTTGATTACAACTGCTCTCATGAACAGCTCAGAATTCCTCCAGTCCCATGCAGGCAACTGCAGATTGCATAGAATTATTTCCCTTCTGATTAAGCTCATGAGGATAAGCTGATGGAGCACATATTCCCTTAATTGTCCAGTTCTTTAATATGAATTGCTTCAGTAAAGCCCCCCTGGAAGAAGAACTAGTTTTCTCTCTCCAACTTCTCCCCACTTCAATCACACAATGCATTCTGTTGAGTAAGTTTTGAAGAACGTTGGCATCCATGTTTTAGGGTGTTGATCTCAAGCATCCCTAATCTTCCCTTAGCAAATTCAAAGAAGGTTGGGTTACATGGGGCTCAGGGCACAAATTCTCCTCTGCCCTTGTGCTTGCAGAATGCTTAGCTTTTGTACAAGGGAGGCAGCATCTTCTTAACTTCTCTGAAGTGATACTTGTAGACAAAACAGACCCATGCCCCACAGCTTCAAGGACACTAGAACCAGATTACTCAGAAGGTTGTGGTTGTTGTTTTCACAAGCCACAACCTTCCAGGAAACATTGACCTAATAACATAAAACCCTATCAAACCATATCCAATATACATTAATTAAAATGACTATTTGAAATCTATGGTGCCTGATTTTTTCTGTCTTCTTCTTACCCAAGGCAAATGAAATATATTTAAATTCTGCCAGAATATTGTCAGGGAAGGACCTGATCTGCCCCAGGAGGAAGTTTCAGAGATAGGATGCTGTAGGAGAAAAAGCCCCCTTTTGTGTTTTCACCATCCATGCCATCCATGGTGGCTGTGCTATGAGAAGAGCTTCTGCCTCTTAACCCATTACCCAATCTTAGCAGGGCTCCACTTCAACAGATGTCATTCCCCTCCCCCTACTAAAAAAGAGCTCGTCCCCCACTATGCAAATAAGTGCAGCTGCATTCACTTCCTCTGGTTAAGGAATTAAATAGCACGGTGCAGGCTCACTCTTCCCCCCAAGGATTAAATTACACCCAAGTCAGGAAATGCAACATTAAATTCACGGCAGCACTGATAGCTTGATGTCAGGGAACTGCCATCAGTGCCGGAGGGAGAGAGCAAAATCCAGAGGGAGACCGGAGAGTGTCCCGGGTTTGGGAGAGGCAGCCAATCTTCTGGGGAAGAGAATCAGCGTAGCACCAGTGGAGAAGGGGGGCAGATGGGGGAAGCGGCGAGGCGGTCCCATGACTCCTTGCCGGGGACCAGCGGGGAGAGTAGAGGTCCTCCGTTGCCTACGCCCTCCTTGCGCAGAAGGCTTTCGCACAGGAAGAGTAGGAGGAGACTAGGCATCAAAGAGCTTCTTTGCTGGAAGAAGTTTAAGAAACGCCCACTGACAGATTCTGCCAGCGATTGAGACAGCCACGGGTGAGTGGCTGTCCGGACAGAAAAGGTTCACTCAGGCAATCCAGCCAGGTGTTTGCACCGGCTTACGCACGAGCAACCCCTAGAACCATTACAGCAATCCGTCAGTCCCTGACGTTGCTTATGCGCAGCCCCGGAGAGGCAGCACGATGAGCCAAACGGGGCCGGCCGGAGAGACAGAGCAAGAAGCCATGGTGTGAGGTCTGGTCGAGAGGAACCGAGACCTGGAGGCGCATGTCACTACCCTGTCTGCGCAGCTGGAGGAGAGACGGGCTCAGGATGCACAGGTTAGAGCCACCCCGATAGGGAGGAAGGTCCTGGGGCTGGTACACAAGTTTGATGGAACTCCCCAAGACTACAGTGCCTTCCGGACGGAAATTCAGTACGCTTTGGAATTGCAGAAAAACGACTTTGCGGATGACGGGGAGAGGGTGGCTTACATTATTGGACATCTGCAGGATGGGGCGCGCAAATGGATCAGGCCCTTGATGGCATCGGGGAATGACGCTTTGAAAGATCTTAAGAAATTCTACCTCGCGATGGACGCGATGTTCTTCAGTGAGATTGAGCAAAGCGTGACACGGAGGGAGCTGATGGGGTGCAAGCAGGGGAGCCTGACCGTCAGAAACTACTGGTCGCGTTTTGCGATGTTAGTCCACAAGCTCAGGTGGGATCTGGACTCTGAACCAGTACAAATGTTGTTTGAAGCGGGTCTGGCCCCCGGAGTGAAAGACGAGTTGTCCCGAGCACCCCGCCCGTGGTCGATGGATGAACTCACAAAGGCTGTGCTTGCCATTGGTGTACGCCAGGAAGCGCGGGCTCAGGAAAAGCGGGAGATGAGGGCGGAACGTTTCCATGACAACCGCATTCCGGAGATGCCGAGGGAGCCTTCCCAGGCGGCGGAGCCGATGGAAATTGATGGAGCGCGCGCGAAGTTTCAAACACTGGGGAAGGTCGGAAAAGGGAGGGGAAGGAGTGGAAAACTACCAAGAAGTGTTTCCTCTGTCAGAGGCCGGGACATTTTGCAAAGGTCTGCCCTCAACGAAAAGCCTGGCAAGGCATGATGGGGGCTGCAGGCCACGACGATAAGGGGGAGGAAGAGCAGGTGCAGGGAAATGACAACGCCTGGCTGCCATCGATGGCAGGGAACTCCTGGGAGGGGAAGTGACACACCATACACCGCCAATGCGAATGAGTGTCTCCAGACACACGGAGACCATTGCCTTTCACATGGCCACGCTGGCAGGACCCCCAATAATACTGGGTATGAGCTGGCTGGCAATACATGACCCAGTGGTGTCATGGCATCAGCGGTCGGTCACCTTTGGGTCAGCTTACTGCTTAGAACACTGTCTGGGAGGGAAGGAACCAAGAAGGACTGTGGCCAGGGTGGCTGGGGTGGCCCTGGAGCAAAAGAGGGAGGTGCCAACACAATATGCTGATTTGAAGGAGGTCTTCAGCGAGAGGGAGGCAGACAGATTGCCCCCCCACAGGCCACACTGCCAAATCAACCTGCTTCCAGGGGCTCAGTTACCGGTGGGTAAGCTGTATGCCATGTCCGACTGGGAGATGCAGGAGTTGCGGCAGTTTATTGACAAGAACCTGAAGAGAGGTTTCATAAGGGAATCAAAGGTGGTGGGAGGCAGTCCAGTGTTCTTTGTGGACAAAAAAGAGACTAATCAGCCCAGATTAGTCGTGGATTACAGGGCCCTAAACCTGGTGTCAGAACCCGTGACTTTCCCAATGCCCAAGATTGACGATATTTTGACACGTGTGAGGCAGGGGAAGATTTTTACCAAGCTGGACCCCAGGGGAGCATACAATCTGATTAGGATAAGGGAGGGGGGCGAATGGAAAACGACCATGTTCACCCCCCTGGGGGCTTTTGAGTACTTAGTCATGCCATTTGGATTACAATCGGGGTCCGCCTGCTTTCAAGCCTTCATGCACCATGTGTTGGGGCCCCTGCTGTACAAGAATTGCGTAGCCTTTCTGGATGACGTCTTAATCTATTCGGACAATGAAAAGCAACACGTCAGAGACGTCAGGGAGGTACTACAGAGATTGAAGAAGCATCAGTTGTGGGTTAAGCTGGAAAAATGCCAATTCCACGCCAGGGAGGTCGAGTTCCTGGGGTACAGGTTGTCAGACAAAGGACTAGCCATGGATCCGGGCAAGGTGAAGGCAGTGCTGGAATGGAAAGCCCCCCAAAACAGAAAGGATGTGCAGAGGTTCCTAGGCTTCAGCAACTTCTACAGGAAGTTCATAAAGAACTTCGCTCACTTGACAGCGCCCATAACGGATTGTCTTAGTAGCAAAAAGAAGTTCACGTGGACAAAGGATGCGCAGCAATCCTTTGAAAAACTGAAGAAGGCGTTCGCCTTGGAAGAGCAGCTCCTGCACGTGGATCTGGAGAAGCCCATGAGACTGGAGACGGATGCGTCCGACCGCGCGATCGGAGCGGACCTTTTGCAGCCCGGGGCCAAGCAGAACTGGATGCCGTGTGCCTTTTTCTCTAGGAAGCTGAGCAAGTCGGAGCAAAACTACACAGTGTATGACAGAGAACTGCTTGCGATCTATACGGCATTTCGGCAATGGAGACATCTATTGATAGGGGCGCGGCACAAGATCCAGGTCTGAACTGACCACAAGAACTTGGAATACTGGTGGACCGCGCGAGTGCTCAACCAGAGACAGATCAGATGGTCTCAGGAGTTCGCCAAGTTTTTCCTTCGAGATCTGATACGTGCCAGGAGAGGAAAACGTAAGGGCAGATGCTCTCTCCCAGAAACCGGAGTACATGGAAGGAGAGGGGCCACCAGAGACCAGGCACGTGTTCCCCGAGGACCAGTGGGTGTGTGGGGGAGCGTTGGTTGGGAAACGAGAACTGGCAGGGCTCACCAGAGACGATGAGTTTGCTCAGACAAAAATCAGGGAACTCAGGGACGGAAAGGAAGTCAATGGAGGGTTTGAGGAAAAGGAAGGACAACTGTACTATAAGGGGGCGCTGTATGTACCAGGGGAGACTTTGAGGGGGAAGGT